CGATATGAAATTAATCCATGCTGGAAAGGTTTTGGATAACGGGAGGACACTTGCCGAGTCTCGAGCGAATGTGGGTGACCTCCCAAGCGGGGTGATCACAATGCATGTTGTTGTTCAGCCTGCAGTTGTCAAGAAAAAGACAGGTAAATATTTAATGCATGACAGTTTAGTATTAGAAGGTCTGCAAGATGAGGTTTATATGTATGTTTAGTTTTTCTTGTTTTTTATTCATTTAGCTTCTTATCGTACGTCCGGTGTGGTCTTTGTGTGATTGCTAGTTAGTTCATATATTTCTTAATCTTAAGTTGTTGATTATTTATATATTTTGTGTGTATAGAAGCTTCATTATTTTTTTCATGATAACGGCTAGTTTATTCAATCTCTCATTTGCTCAGCTTCATATTGTTTCAGTGTAACTTTTCATCGTGTGATGGTATGGATGTTATCATGCATATATATACTTTTGGTACCCATATTTATTGGATATTAAGAAATCAATTTTATGTTCGTGGAGGTAAAAACTAAAAGAAAATGGGAAAAAGAAATATGGAGATCTGTTGAATTGTGTCATTATTGGATAAATTTGTTACTCTTTTTTCTTTATGGCAAATGCAGGTAAGGACCAGACGGATAAAGAAAAACAGGGCCCGTGTTCGTGCACTATCCTTTAGAAACTATCATGTCATGTCAGTAAGGCCAACTTCTAGTCGGAAAAGAATAAGGTAAAAAAAAGTAAAACAAAATAGAAAAGAAGGCGTTGTAACATTGGTGATGAAGCTTGAAGAAAGGTAATGAAACAACATTGAGAACTTGGAACCTAGACTTTCATACATGTAATCTATATTTTCTTCGGCATCTTTGTAATAGTTTTTTACACTTTGGATTGGGATGTGGTTTTGATTTCTGCACTGAGCTTCAGTCAGTTTGATAACTGAAGTTGAGATGAAAGATTTAGTGTTGAAAATTGATGAAAATGTATATCGTGAAATATAATATATGCTGTTTTCGTACAAATGAAGTAAGAGACAAGGTTATTATATATTACCTTCAATTGTTAGTTGGAAGCGTTTGTCATATTGTTTTCTATTTTGAAACTCCAGCCTCCTTCGCTTCTTATTCTCGGTAGGAGGTGCTTAATGTCTTGGAAATATACTTTCGGTGTTCAATTTTGTAAATTGATTGAGTCGTGTGCTTATGAGTTGACATTTCTTGTGCCTATTTTTTTTTCTGATTTTTATTTTTCAATGCTGTTAAATTTTGTTAGCAAATACTATGAACGTATGATTTTCGACATTTGTTTTTTTTTTTT